AAAAAATGTAAATGAGAAAACAGAAAACAGATCAAACATTTCTGAGAAAAATTTACTGTCTAAATTGACATGTAAAATAAATATATAAAACTTATTTCAAAGAAATGACATGAGAAAAAGAATATGAATTATATCATAAATAAGTGTTCATCCAAAAAAAAAAAAAAAAATATCTATACTGTGGTTATATATTTGATGGCAAATATTTTTGCTTTTATATTTATATATGATATATATATCTTTTGAAAATCATATTTATATACACATATATTGAAATATATATATATATATATATATATATATACACACATATATACATCCTACCTACCTACCTACACACACACACACACACGATGAAAGCAACAGTCAAAATAAGTAGAACAGCTACAAGAATTAAAGCATAACTGTATATATGTCTTTTTTTAAAAGAGAGAGAGAGAATTTTTAATATTTCTTTTTCTTTTTTTTTTAGTTTTCGGTGGACACAACATCTTTGTTTGTATGTAGTGCTGAGGATAGAACCCCGGCCGCACACATGCCAGGCGAGCACGCTACCGCTTGAGCCACATCCCCAGCCCAAATATATATGTCTTTATAGAGACAGAGAATATTCACTTATGTTTGACCTTGATTACATACCTACTTTTATTTTTAAAAACTTAATGCAGATTCAATGTATCTTGAGGTAACGATGTAATAAAGTAGAGTGAATAAAATAGCAACAACAAAAAAGTTCATTAATAAATAAAGACCCTAATATTAACAGCCTGATTTTTAACAAAGAGCCTTAATTTTTAAATTGGGATATAATTCACATGCCATATAATTCACAATTGAAAGTATATAATTCAGTTTTTTTTTAGTATGGTCAGAAAGTTGTAACCATCACCACTAATTCCAGAACACCTTCATCATTCCCCAAAATATTTCACACCCATTAGTAGTCATTCTGTTGTGCCAATTTCCCTTACTCTAGACAACAATTTATATATTTTATGACTCTAATTTTGGACATTTCAGATATGTGAAATAATATAAAATTTGACATTTTGTGTCAAATTCCTTTTTTCTGAACATAATATTTTCAAGGTTTATCTATGTTGTAGCATGTTTTAGTACTTTATTTTTTCTTTAAGTCTGCCTTTAATTCTCTGAGTGTTCTCTCATACTGATTACTGATAGTAATTTGGGAAGTTTCTGGCACCTCATTTTGATTGCTATGTGAAGTCATGTTTTTTTTTTGTTGTTGTTGTTGTTGTAGATGGACACAATACCTTTATTTTATTTGTTTATTTTTATGTGGTGCCAGGAATCGAACCCAGTGCCTCACACAAGCTAGGCAAGCACACTATCACTGAGCCACAACCCCAGCCCGAAGTTGTTGGGCTTTAGTTTTTGTTCAGTTCTTCCTAATTTGGCTTTATATGTGACCATCCAAACTCTAAGCAGGCTGCTTATTTTCTCTAAATTTTTTACTTCTGTTATTTCAGCATATCTAGGCTTATCAAGAATCTGCTATTGGTGTTTGTCACAGTTACAGCACTAAAGGGTGATCCAAGCCCAGGTTTGTTCCAAATCCACACACGATATATTTTTCAGAAAAAAAAAAAAATAGAGGTACCTAGAAGGTGAGTTAAATCCCAACAAGCCTGTCTCTGGGGCCAGAATAGGCCCAGTCACATGTGGTCAGGCAGTATAGAATTCTGCTCATCTCGGGGCAGATAAAACCATGGATGGACTAGCCCCATGTTCCTATGCCATGCATGTGGCTACAAAGGCCACCAAGATTTGTCACATTCTGAGCCCACAGTCCAAGACCAGCATTTCAAGAAGAAAGGGCCATGGTCCATACTGCTATGGGATGTCTATTGCTGGAGTGGACTCACAGACCAAGACCTCAGTGATCAGTCACAGATGATTCTGACTGGAATCCAGTAAACCAGAGCAGCATGTCTTCCCCTGGCACGTTTACTGTTCCAGGAGCTCTATTCACAGGCAGGCCATGGGTGGAGACTGTTGGAATCTGCCCATACTGTTAGGTTTCATCAGTCTGTTATGCATGTTTTTCTTTTTGTTATACTAAAAACTGGCACTATGGTCTGTCAATGGGTTTCCTTAGCTCTTGTGAAGATAGGTTGTTGTGTGTTTAGCTGTTCAATTTTGTGTGTCTGTAGTGAAACAATCACCAGAGAATTTTACTCAGCTGCTATCTTGTTCTAACTCCAACAATCCAGTTTTGACAACAATGCATGTCACACATAAATATGCATACATATACAGAAAAATTTAATGTATTTAATCTTTATTTATGGAAAGTATTGATTATATTCTAAATATGCTATTTTAAATAATTATTTTTATAGTATTTTAGACATATGCAAGTAGTAATGAATGATTAGTAGGTATTGTTTTAGGGCTAGTAAAGAACACGTAATCTTGTATGTTTATGAATGGGAGCTACTCAGTCTCAAGCTCTACTGGCTGACTTCCTGCGTGTTTAGTATGGAGTGTTTGCAAAAATGATCTCAACAATTCCTTCGCCACCCTTACCTTTGTAATGTGAATTTGCTTTTCTGCCCTTGAAGAGGTGGGCTCTATCTTTCCTACACCTTGAATATTGAATTGGGGCTTTCTTTGATCAATAGAATGTGAATAAAATAATCTCTTTGACTCCCACACCCCCCACCCCTTGAAATACTAGAACCACCATTTAAGGAATCTGGGGGAAGACCGTTAGGGAATGAGCAATCATAATGAGAAAGAAGCCCAATCAAGAGCTAGCTCCAACCACATGGACAAATCCCCCAGGACTTTGACTTTTCTACTTCAGAAATTACTCTATGTCATAATAAATATTATGTTATAAAAATATTATGGTTATTTAATTATTCTTATAATTACATAACAGACATGTAATCACTCTGAATTCTACTGAGAACTTTAAATTATAGTGAACACAAGTTCTAACTATTAGATATTTTGAAAACTTATTAAAAAAAAAAAAACTTACCCAACTCAACACATCCACAAATTCCCAGGAGAGATCCTGAGCTATGATACAAAGGAAGGGTTATATAAACAATGTCATCAGCTGTACAACCGAAAGCCCACAATCCAGCAGAACCCTTTAAAGCCTGCAAGTGACTAATCACAGCTGCTTTTGGTAGACCTGGAAGACAAGAAAAAAAAAAGAAAGAAAGTATATAATTTACTTTCTTTTTCTACAAGTTAACTGACTCGACTTTGGACATAAATAGAATCATATAATATTTGACTATCTTAGTTCATTTGGGCTACTATAATAAAATACCATAAGCTATGGAACTTATAAACAACAGACATTCATATCTGGTATATACACACACACATACACACACACACATTGTGAAGCTGAAGCACTCTAAAGAAGCCACTTCTACATTAAAGATACTGCAGACTGCTGGACCTCTGCTAAGTAAAATATCATGGTTATATAGAGATGCAATATTGAAGATAGATAGCCAAAATCATCTTAGGCTCTTGAGAAAAATAGCCATTGATTTTTAATCTTTACTTGTGACTTAACATTATCATATCTATTAGGTAAAATCTTGGGATATCATGTTAAATTTAACTGATCTCCAGCCTTCACTAACCCTATAGCTAAGAATATTATGAGATAACATCTGAAACCTACAGAAGAGATTTTCACACCTTGTAGTAGCCTGCCTACCTAATGCCTCCTCCAATGTATCTGTTGAATGCATTTATTTATAATTTTTATCCATAAATGTTCATGTAACGTGTTTTTTGTTTTGTTTTGTTTTGTTTTCGTACTGGGGATTGAACCCAGGGAGGGACGCTTAACCACTGAGCCACATCCCTAGCCCTTTTTTTTTGTATTTTATTTAGAGACAGGGTCTTGCTGATTTGCTTAGGGCCTCACTGAGTTAGTTGCTTAGGACCTCACTAAGTTGTTGAGGCTGGCTTTAAACCTATGATCCTCCTGCCCCAGCTTCCCAAGCTGCTGGGTTTACAGACATGCATCACCACATCCAGCCATATAATCTTCTTTATGGCAGAATTTGTCATGAAGAGTAACTTGAATCTGTGTTCCCAGGCCATGGTCACCATATTTGACTCAGAATAAAGTGTTTTTTATTCCTTATTAAAGCTCAGTTGCTATTTAATGTCATATGCACACACATATTAATGTGATATATACACATACATAACTGACATAAAATAACAACTCTGATATATACATATATGTGAAAGAATATATATGTATTTGTGTGTATATATGAAAGAATATGTGTGTATATATATGTGTGTATGTGTGCGTGTGTGTGTCCTATGCCATGAAAGAAGTCCTATGCCAGTGTGAACTATATAAAAAATTGAGACAAAATACATCAAAGTGTTCTATATGCTTTATAAAAGGGGCAAGGAAAGTGTGAGTTATTTCATAATTAATTTCTAGAATCTTATAGAATCTTATATCTGTATAGAAAGACCAAACTACAAAATTATATAGTTTGAGATACTGTAATTTTCAAGGACCTATATCTGCTATAAAACTAAAAAAAAAAAAACCTCTAAAGATGAGGCAAATCACAATACACATCTAAATTATACATGAGGTAGAGCTCCAAGTAGGAGTCTTTCATTCTGTCACATTTAACCCATCCTACAAGGTGATCATCATAGCATATCAGATTCCATTGTAAACAATGGTGAAGCTTTTCCATACATTCATTAACCAAACATAGCTCTTTCCTTTCCTCTCTAGTTTTCTTCCCTGGATCCCATGGCAACTCAACTTTTAAAATAATAACTTTTCACTTGGAAGCAGGTCAAGAAAAGAAGGACGTTCAATCCAGCTTTCTCCCACATGCTTATGTTACCCCATTAAAGCACTTTAGTAAATTTATTAGACACGGTCCTTTTTGATTAAAATAAACTAAATTAGGTTGCTTAATTTTAAATGAATAGTGGTAACACTAATTTGTTATAAATTGTACAAGGTATTTGATAGATTTTTTTGATAGAAACAATGGACATGAGCTTATGCAACATGTGGAAGTGATCAAAAGTTGATAGAGTTTAGAGCTTTAAAGGAAAAAAAAATACCAGAAGAATAAATTAAGTTTGATAAAACTACATCTTACAGACCTACTTAAAATATTTAGAAAGTATATTAACAATAAAGATCTCAAGAAGTCAAGCAGTACAGAAACATCAGTATTTATACCAATGTCCTTTCAAACTTGCATGTCCATTAAACCCTTTTGAAACCTTTATTGCATTTCTTTGAAAAAAAATTCCTTGAGAAATAGTACATTGAATGGTCTCCAGAGTCTTTGGTTCTTCTAACCTTTGATGGTTTCATGATGTTGGAACTCTTAACATATCCCTTAATTTGAATGGAACATTGAGATGGGGCCAGAGAGAAAAGTGAGAATAGGGATGTGTCCAGTGATGGGGGATTAGAGGTAGATTAGGAAGGATAGAAAATGCCAAGACAAATTCAATTCAGAATCAGAGATGTTTTCTGCAATAATTTTGGAAACTGGGGAACAATAGTTAAAGAAAGATGGAATCCATAGGAAGGAGAAGGAGAAATGAAAGGAAATCTTTTGATGGTGATGGTTAACTGGTTCCAGGCATAGCACAACAGGCAGAAGCCTCATTTTCCTCCTGCTACTTATGGCAGTGGTTGAATGTATGATTGCTCTGTCAAGGCTTAGCCTCTCTTATAGGTTGTTGGGGCCACCTAATCAAGTCACCTAGTAAGACAGGACTAGAAGCTGATGAACATCAGGACAACCAGGATGGGATTGGAGGGGACAACAAGCTGTATTAAGGGTGATAGATCAGTGTGGTGAGTGACAGCACATTCAAGCTAAACTTAGGTGAAGCCTTGAAGACAGCTGAATTGCCCTCATGGAACCTCAGAAAAGCTCAGAGATATGGGAACCAGGTTCCTTAAGACTAAGAGACCAACATGGAACTATAAAAGATAGCTTCGTGAGAAGTAGTATATAAGAAACAATTCTTCCTCCATCCTGGTAAAATATTAAGGTTTATTCTCTGGAGAAAAAAAAATATGGACTTCAGGAAGCATCAGGAAGAACAGAAGTTGATAGATAGGGGGATAAGAAAAGCATATAAGTACTTCCAACTCCTCTTTAACACTCAATTGGCTCTAGTCTTCAAGATTCCTACCTGAGGAATCTGAACATGTAAAAACTGAAAGACACTGATAATCATGGATCTTTCCAAAAATGTCCTTGACAATAAAACTAATTAGCAGATAAGTCCCACTCAGGCTCATGGAGAGTCTAGTCATAATTTTGTTTGTTTTGTGTGTGTGTGTTTTCCTGTCTGTATTTTAAAATATACATGGAAATTCTCTAGCATATAAGATAGAGGCTAATCAAAAGATAAAAAAGATTTGGAGAAAGCAGACAAGGTAGAGAGGAGAAATTTTTAGAAAAGTATTTTTATTAATACTCTAAAAGAAATGATACAATAAAGTATTTAAAATACAAACATACAGTTCCAAAAGAGAAATCTTCAGAGAACACAAGAGTTGGAAGATAAGTCTCTCAAAAAAATATCAAAAGGTAAGGAAAGGAAAATAGATACAAAAGATTATGAAATTAATGAATTATTCCAGGAAGATCAATCTTCAAAAATGTAAGAGTTCCAAAGATGAATGAGTGAAAAAAATTAAACAAATGTAATAGAATAAGGAAATGGACAGAAAGAACAGAAGTAGGAAGAAAGAAAAGGAGATGTAGAATATTCATTTTTCAAATTAAAAAGTTCCTAGAACTGGGCTGGGGATGTGGCTCAAATGGTAGCGCGCTTGCCTAGTATGCGTGAGGCACTGGATTTGATTCTCAGCACCACATAAATGTAAAATAAAGATACTGTGTCCACCTAAAACTAAAGAAATAAATATTTCAAAAGTTCCTAGAACTGTAGGACATGACTTCCTAGATTAAAATAGGCATACTAATTTCCAGAAAAAATGGATAAATAAGACCAGTATATGTCAGTGTGGTATTAAAGACCCATGAAGATTCATAAAAGATTCTAAAAATTCCAAGAAAGGAAAAGAAAAACTAAGATAAGTTACATAAGGATAAGAAAGCAGAAAGACTTCTTCAATATGTAGAGTGGAAGTCTAAAAATAATAGAGCATACCTTGGAGATCTCACTAAGATAAATTCCAACCTAGAATTCTATACGAACTATCATTCCTGTGTAAGGATAGAAAAAGGATAATTTGGACATGTGAGCAATTAAAAAAAAACATACTTCCCAAATACTCTTTATCAGATAACAACAGAAAGCAGCACACTGAAAAAAAGAAAAGTAAAGCAACTTAAGGATCCCTGAATTAGAGGATCAAAACAAGAGAAGGATTGAGTGAAGTTTCCAAGATGATGGTGAGAGCAAGAGGACCAAGACCAAGAGGTCAAAATCAAAAAAAATAGAGAGCATGTCTGTGGTAAAGAAGAGGCCAAGAAGATAGATTTGACCAAATATGCACTATCTTTCCTACATCTAAAGGTAAGTTATCTCTTTGAGACAAGGGTGAGTACCATGAACTTGTTTAATATAATTGCTATCTCAGTATCAATTTTTAGGCCTCGTCATAAGTTATTTGAAACCCAGTTGTACCCTGTCAGATTTAATGAACACTTTCTCCCTGCCTGTGATTGTGACATAAGACACTTGTTGTCCCTCATCTCACTGACTCAACACTCCAGGGTTACTGACCATGAAAAACCTAATGGTTAGCCCTGGAGTTATGTAAGAAAGTCCCCCACCAAAAGGCAGCAAAGGTATGTCCATGGACCATAGAAAGAACAAACCCCATGGTGCCCTTTCACTCCCTACCTTCTGGTTGAGTTCCCTGCTGCCTCTGGACCTTCCACTGGCACCCCTAACCTCCGAAGGACCTGAGAATAATAAATTTCTTTTCTTTCATACAATTTGTTTTCACCACTTCATGGTGTCGCACACACCTAAAACATCCCCCAATCAGGATCCCATAGAGTGTAAACTATCTTGGCCTGCAGCCAATCTCAACAAAGAGACTTTAAGCTCCAAATATAAGAAAAGCATAGTCATAGTCATATAGCAAACTAAGCAATCAAACAGACAAAAACAGTAATTACTTCCAGACTGAGGAGAATTTTATAATTTTGTCAACAGGCCCAATACACCATAGTGTATTGAACTCTTGAAGAACAAAGCTGTTATGATCTGTCTATGTTCTGTGGGGTGGAGAAGTAAGGACTGTTTTGAAGACCAGACTCACTTTTGACTTTTCACAAGAAAATAAGTATAAAGACAAACTGGCTAGCACTTTTGGAAGTTTTTAAAGAACATCATTTCCACAATTTTATTCTTTCTTTCAAAGTACAAAATCAGACTGAATTTATGCTGACAGTCTAATACACATTAGCATTTTCCAGTTCATTTTTCAAAGCTGTTCTAATCACAGTCAAGAAAGAGATTGCATTTAGGCATCAAATAGGTCATTAAAATAAAGAAAAACTTTTCTTATGCAATAGTAGTGCTTACAGTACTACCTTTACATAAGAAATTGGCAACAGAATATTTTAATATATGTAAATTAAATTCTAAATTATACATGTATATATATATATACATATATGTGTGTATGTGTATATATATATATAAATATATAAGTTATATGTATTTATATGTGTTTATTTATTTATTTATTTATATTTGGGTGGGGGTACCAGTGATTGAATTCAGGGGCACTCAACCACTGAGTCACATTCCTAGCCCTATTTTGTATTTTATTTGAAGACAGGGTCTCACTGAGTTGCTTAATGCTTCACTTTAGCTAAGACTGGCTTTTAACTCACAATCCTCCTGCCTCAGCCTCCGGAACTGCTGGGATTACAGACATGCACCACCATGCCCTGCCTAAATCATCTTTAAATTAATCACAAAAGCTTATTTAGCTTGTAATCAATAATACTATTTATATTTCCTTAAAAAATCAAAATTAAGCATTTTTAAATTCTCAAGCAATTTATTATTCTTTTTTTTCCTTCTTATCTTTATTGCTTACTGCCCCCAGCCCCTGAAATAAAAAAGCTTAAAAATTTGATATTTTTGTCTTTTTGATTATTTATCTTTTCCTAAACCTTGGATACCCTCCAGATTTTGTTATTTACATTATATTTATTCTAGGAAAATTAGGAGAGCAGCTACTTGTGCTTAAATTGCAATTATCACTGGACTATGCTTAGGATTTAAGATTTTCACAGAAATAGAACTGTTTTCAATTTAGTTAATGACTGCTTAAATACAGATGAATAATTAGGAACTATTTAAACTAATCTCTTCATATTAGATACCAGGAATCTGAGGATCAGAGAAGCTGACAAAGGTCTTGCCATAAAAGCTAGCCAAGTATCTGACACTGAGCAACAGGCTGAGGAAGGTCTTCAGACATTCCAGTGCTTTTTATTCTATGAAACTAAGAAAATCTTTTCAAATGAGACCAAGGTCAATGAACATGTTATTTTCCAAAGTCAAAACAATGAACTTTTTGAAAGCCAAAGCAATTCATTTTTCATTCCTGTTTGCAAGTTCTGAGATCCAAGAACTTTAGGTCTTCTTGCATGGATGCTTTCTCAGATGCGTAGACCTATACGTGGCTGAAAATACATTGCAATCCTCTTTAGCCTTAAAAAGAATTGGAACATACCTGTTGTTCCGGAGGTAAAAATATATAGGCACGTGGACTTGAGGCTTGAGGCAACATGATGGCTGCGTGCCACAGGCTCCTCAGATGATGTGCTCAGTTTTTGTATGAGTGAAATCATCCCTTGGGGAACAGAATCTTTCATGCCCCAAACACTGACATTTTGGGGGATGTTGGGAAGGATCTCTTCTATAATGCCAAGCAAATCTAAAAAAACACAAAGGATTAGAATAAATAAACAAAACTTAAACCTCAAACCATTCACTGTGAGTTTACTTTTTTTGTGTTGAAACAAAGATATAAAATGCTGACTTTCTTCTCATTTGGGATGAGTAATATCAGTGCCATGTTATGGTTCTGTTTCAACAGGACTACCTGAAAGGGAAATCTGATCACCACTCGACTGAACAATGCAAAGTAGGCCAATTCAGATTGACTTCTGGAGATGTCATTATCAAAATTATGGATATTTTTCAATTTTTAAATAGAATTTAATACTCTGAATTCAGAATACTACACTAAACATTTTTTTAAATGCAACTTAGTAGATGGTTATTCCAAAAAAATGTCATCTGTCACTGTGTAGTTCTACTATGGTGAAATATACTTGGGAAAAATCCCCTGGCAGATCTGGAATCATAAGCTCATTGTGGTTTTGGAGTCAAAAGCTAAGTGATGAGATTTAGAGATGCCTTTTTTCTCTATGTAGCTAAAGATAAGAGCCTTTGGAAGCAGAGGAGAAAAAGAATGCCTTCCAGCTAAAGCAATAAGATCCTCCATGCAGAGGAGGATGTGAGAGTGAGTTGAGAATAGAGTCTCCACAAGCAGCCCTGGGCAGAAAGAAGCCAAGAAGAAAGAAGGAAGAATAGAAAATCCCAAAGAACTAAAGACTTTGGACTCTGGTGAGATAAGGGTGTAGTTGATAGCCAATGTTTAGGAAAGAAAAAAAAATACTTTTCTCAGTTAGCGCCTGCTGCTAAGATAAATAAAACAGCAACCATTAAGGTAGGAATACATTGAGTTATTCAGAAACATAAACCAGAGTTCATTAATTTGGCCATTAATGTAGGAAAGATGTCATCTACTCAGAAAGAAGGTATTGATGGGAAAGTAGGAAGATAGAAGGTGGGAGTGGGTCCCTAAGGAGGAAATATTACATATCAAGATACCTGATGGGATAAAGAAACAAAAAGCCATCATTCTTCCCTAGTCCTTTGTATAACTGAGTATTGTCCCCTGCCCCCTAGGGTAGAGAGATCTACAACTACTTACATTCTTTATATTTCTTTTGTACTTAACAGTGCCTGACTTTAAAATGGACCTCTGATAGTAGAGTTCAACTGTTATATTCAACCTGGGCACTCCAATTTTATTTCCATATTCCTATAATATGTTATAATTTTCTAAAGTATACCGGACTTCTGAGTGACATGTTACTTATCTTAAAATCTACATTAATATTCTTGGGGTTATTAAAACATAATACTCACTGGTTTTTTAGAGTTAATGCAAGGAATGTCAAGCACTGTCAGCAACCCTCAGAAGAGCATTATGAGAGAGCATGGCCCTGTTCACACTTTTATTTTGAACATCCAGTCTCTATTACTGTGAAAGTACATTTCCCTTGTTTTAAGCCACGCAGATTGGGGAACTTCATTTTAGCTGCTCTAGTAGATAGCTACACCAAGGTCACAAGTTGGCAGACAGTAGAATTGGTAATTTAACCATCTATTAACTCAAACCTATATTTATAGACCTCATAAAACCGGCAGTCGTTAAAAAATAACACTATTAAATGTATAAGAGACTTCCATCAGAATGTTCAATACCTGCAAATATAGTTGTTACCTCTAAAGCATTATATGTTTTCTAATTTTAAAAATAAAACTAAAAATAATCATAATCTACATTTGGCTTTGAATTTGGAGTTCCGCATTACACATTTTCCTAGAATCATAAATCAGTACCTTGTTATGTGATGAAGTCGTTTGCCAGTTACTACTTAGTTCTATTATAATGCAATGCATTTGGGATTTACTCTCTCAAAATCTATAACTCAGATTGGTCATAAAGAAGCAGCAAGAGAAATGTGACTAAGAGGTCCTCAAAACCTGTAAGAAGCCAGATGAAACATAGAAGTGCTAAGGAATTTATATGTTGTTGGGGAAATTAGAAATTTAAAATGTTTTTAAAATTTCTATTTCTAGAACAAATCCAAATAAAACAAAACAAAACAAAAATCTAGAGAAAATACTTAGTTCTTAACAGACCCGGCATACTGCTGTATACAGATTGTTTGGCAAGGAGAAAGGAAAATCCACAAGGAAGCCTGGGAGGAAAGACAAGTCATAAACAAATGGAAAAGCAGGACAAAGGATTGAAAAATTTTTTTAATGTTAATTCTAAATTTTGTTTGAACATTCTTTCTGGCATTTTATACTCATAAATCTCTGCACTGACCCTTTTTGCTGATCATAATTTCAAATCTGTCACTGGGAATTATAAATTAATAGTGTACTTTTATGTGTTCTTAAAGATACAAATGTCCAGGGCTCAGGATGTAGCTCAGTGATAGTGGGCTTGTGTGGATATACAAGGACCTGGGTTCAATCTCCAATATCACACACATACACACACACACACACACACCACACACATACACACCACACACACACACACCCCCCACATACAAACACATACACATACACAAATAATAATAACATATAAAGGGAGGAACGTCTAAAGTTGAAAAATAAGTACAACAAAAGTTATAATATAATTAATTTTTACCCCCAATTTTGGTTGAAATCCAGGGTATAAGAAACAGTGAGGATCTACAAACAGTGATAATGGTTACAAGGAAAAAGAATATGGCTGAGGATATAGCTCAGTTGGTAAAGGCTTGTCTCACATGCAAAAGGCCCTGGGTTCAATCCCTAGCACCACACACACACACAAAAAAAAAAAATTAAAAAAAATCAGTCTTAAAAGCAAATTCTGAAAAAAGAAAATGAGCATGAATTAGAGGAAATAGAATTCTGTTTTCTTAAAATTAAATTGATTTGGCTGAGGTAGAAAAAGGTAGAATTCTGAAATGGAATTTTTTCTAACCAAATTATTTCTTCAACAGTGGTAGAAAATATGGACGCGGATGGTGAAAACTGCAACAAAAATGTGAAAAGTCACATAAAGGAAAAAGTGTCACCAGTTACTTATCACTGCCAATTTTTCTTAACAAAATGAAAAAAAAAAGTTTTATTATTTTGAAAGGAAATTCTGGGGCTGGGATGTGGCTCAAGTGGTAGTGCCCTCGCCTGGTATGTGCGTGGCGCTGGGTTCGATCCTCAGCACCACATACAAAACAAAGATGTTGTGTCCACTGAAAAACTAAAAAATAAATATTAAAAACTCTCTCTCTCTCTCTCTCTCTCTCTCTCTCTCTCTCTCTTAAAAAAAAAAAAAGAAAGTAAATTCTGAAAAAAAAAGGTAAATCCTGAAAATTAAGTTCTGACACAAAGTAGTGATGGGGACAGACAGGTGCAAGTGATGGGAACACAAGGTTAAGGGAATGATTCTACAAAATGGGCCCACTCTGCTGACCCCCACATTCTTTCTTTTCCAAGAAGCAATATGCCTGAAGCCCTGCATGGCTTACCTGGACAGGATATGTCACATTCCTTAGCAAACAACCTATTATCTGCAGGAGAAATGCAGGCCTGAAATAATGCCAATAAGGGGAACCCAAGTTACCCTGAGGAGGGATCCATTCATGACCCTTTACAGATCAGATCCCCAAACTCAGAGAGATAAAGATAATTCCTCCTAATCATAAAATCTGTAAGAATTTATGGTTATGAATCCAATCAGAACTGTTCATCCTGGGCCAAAGTGACCTGGAATTGTCATGGTAGTGGGGTCTTGAAAATCTGATGTCAACAGTTGTCAGTCAAAGTCAAGAGGTAAGACCTTGGCAGGACTCTCTGGAAAAATCTCTGGGATCCCCAATAAAACTAGAGTGCAAGAGAGAGCATACTATCCCTTTCCTCTCTGACAGGACCCACTTTCTCCCTTAAGGGTATCCCCTTTCCTTTTTCCTATCCCTTCAATAGACTCATGTCCCTTACTCTGAGCATTGATAAGTCTGAAATCTTTCTGATTTGACTATAAGAATCAGTGTTTAAAAAGAGGTGGGAGGTCTTGTAACAGTAGCAATTTTTAAATACTTCAAGGAAATTTGATTTTGTTTCATGAAGATTTACTCTTCAGTGAAATGCACTAGAACTGGAAGCACCTCCTAAGATTGACATGTGCCTCCTCCTTCCTTCTGCCGACTGCACCTGAGCACACATTGTAAGTGTAGGTAGAAATCTGGTTAAAGGAACTGAACTTTGCACCATGGGATCTAGGATGGATTCAGGTCCTGATAGTAACCTACTATTGGAAAATGAGACATCTGGATTTCTTATTATCTTTAATAGTTTACACTGCAAAACTCAATGTCTTTTTAAAAGCAACATGCTCTTTTTAGAAGCACATATTTTCTCCCATATGCAAGGCACTATGTTAAATGGGATCACAAGAACAAAAATATGTGAATTATGATACTTACTTAAGATACTTTAGCACTTTTTATACAATTTGATTTCTTGTTTCTATATTAGTTTTATGTTTCCTATTCACATTTCAGGGACTACAAAATCAATGGATAAAAGTTTCATTTACTTCTATAATATGTTATTGGTTATGAATGTGCTGCATTAAAAACTTTATATTATCTTATTCTACATGGAACAGACTAATATTTTCAAAAGTATAGGAAGACAATCAATTATAGTTTTTATGCACTGGTAAATATTTCAATTTTAAAATTTTCAAATTTTATGTAGGGGTGGGCGTGTAGCTTAGTAGTATGGCTTGTTATGCTTAGTATGGGTGAAGCCCTGGGCTCTATCTCTATTACCAAAAAACAAAGACCAAAATGTTATGCATTAATAAGCCTAATATAAAAATCAACTATAAATGGTTCACTTGAACTTTCCTTACTGATACAAAATGAAATTATAGATCTTACCAGACTCTTATAACTATCATCCTCCTTTGTAGAGAATCCCAATAGGCATGTCAGAGAATGCAAGGCAAGGCTATAGTTTCTAAGAAAATTAATATTTAAGCAGCAATGTTCTAAAGCAATTCATACTGAGATATAT